CCCTTTAGGGTTTTGTTGAACTGTTCATTTAATATATCAGTTTGTGAATGATACATTGAAGTCTATATTTGCTTAATTTTAAAGAATTTGCTGAATTCATTCTAAATCTTAGACATAAAGGGGTACCAGGGGCGGACTGATCATTTGGAACCTCGGGTACTGCCCGAGGGCCCGGGGGTCAGTAGGGGGCCCCATAAGATGCTCCTGGTACCTTTTTCATAGGCTTTTTTGAGTTTGGGCAAGGACACAGGGGCCCCATGATCCCCTATTGCCCGGGGGCCCCATGAGTTGTCAGTCCGCCCCTGAGGGGTACCGTGACTGGTCAGGATTTTGGACATTAGCCCTGTTCTCATGACCATGTGAAACAACTCAAATGTGATATCCTTAGATGAGGTACTTCTTAAAGGGACCACCTCCAGATACCTGGTGCATAGCCATGAACCAAAAAAGGTATTGGTGTCCCCTAGCTGAATAAAGTTACAGGTCCCATCAAGTCCATGGTTACATGATCAAAGGGTATTTTGAAAATCAGAAGCGGTACCAGTGGACTTCAAAAATGGGGTGTCTGAGCAGTAAGTTTACAGGTCAGACAGGACTCACAGAAGACTTAATTTCCCTGTTTACCACAGGCCAATAAAACCTTTGCATAACCTTTCTAGTTTTATCTGCTCCTAGATGACACCCAGGTACATGAACACAAGCTAAATGTAACACTTTGCGCCTAAAAGGCTGAAATATCACCAGTTGTTCATTCACTTGATCTTGCTCTTTGGTGACTCTGTACAACAGATCATGATTCACAGCAAAATGGGGGAACTGCACATCCACCCTAGGTTTAACTGTAAGAGAATTCCTGCACGAAGAATCGTGATCGGGAACGCGCATGCGCAAAAGAGATCCCGCAGAAGAATTGCCGTTGTGCGCAGGCGCGCAGGAATGCGCGATCGCGCACATGCACGCACATGTGCACACGCACGGCGAAGATTGGCACCAGACGGGCTATTTAAGGTGCACCTCTGCCCAGATTCAGTGCTGACTGGTCTTCAGCTCCCCCCTGTGTCCTGCTTGTTCCTGTGGTGCTGACCCGGCTTGTTCCTGACCCGACTCTGAGTACTCTCCTGCCCCCCGGTTCCTGACTTCGGCTCTGATCTTGACTTTGGCTTTTCCTCCTGATCCTGTACTGCGCTGCCCGACTGTTATGACCCTGGCTATCCTACGACTCCGCTCCAGTCCTGTGTCCTGGCTACAAACCTGGCTCTGCTGTGCATCTGGCAATCCTCTGTACCTGCCTGGTCTATTGCTACAGTACCCAAATCAGAGGATATCCTGCCTACCAAGGTCATCATCTGCAAGAGCCGCAAGCAAACCTCTGGCGCTCTTGTCCCCCTGGTCCCTAGACTCCCTCTGTTCCAACTTCAGCGGGGTCAGGGCTAGTGACACAAGTGAGGCCGACCTCTTCAATTCAGTCTCCCATCAGGTACAGTATGTGACATTAACATTGTAACCTGGTCCTTTTCAAAAACTAGAGTGGGTCTCTCATCTATGAAAATTTTCTTTGTAAACTCCTGATTTCTGAAAGTTTTGCTCAGAGGAAGAAGCCTCAGCTTTTACTCCTGCAAATACCACGGGTGGACCTGGGTCAATCTGCAGATTTCTCCTGATGGACATAAACCTTTTTTAAAGCTGAAATTTGTCATTAGTTATTTCATCCAAGGGTTATTAGGGCAGGCTTCTGGGACCTTCAACATTTGTCCACATAAGTCCCAGAATATGGTACAGTTGCACCAGATCAACAGGTCATATTACAACCACATAATCACCACACTTTTTAATGAAGCAGTGCCCACTGGGGTTGACAGAGTTACCTTGTCCATTGCCATGTAAACAGATGATACTTGTGTTCTCAAGGTATCAGGTTTCCCTGCAATGCAAAAGTTTGGTGAAGGGTAACAACACTCCCAGTGTGACAACCTAGTGTACATTAATCTGCACTACACACGTGTGGATTTACTATTTTATCAATAGATGCCACATATGCATACATGAAGCATTGTCGGCATAAGTTGCATTCCATTGGCTTGGTCCTCCTTGGGGCACTGGGCCATCAGATGATCAGGTTGGTAGTATGTTCAGATAAAACCTTGTGGGATTCTCTATCACCCACCAGTTCTTGGGAATGTCTGCCATCGGTGTGCCTTTGGCGGGAGGGTATAAAGATGTGCACCTGCAGATTTACTCTTGCTAAAGTGCCACGGTATGGACATGGCTCACCCTCACAGTTAGAGGTATTTTCTTTAAACATTCATGTTTTATGTGGAATAAACACCATTCTTACTGTTTGAATTGTGAGAAATAGGCTCAGAGTTATTCCCCTCAGATAAAATCATCTGCATTATATTTACATAAACATCATAATGAAATCTGCATCCATAAATAAATCCTTTGATAACCTCCAAGTAATTATATATGAAATGATCCAGTATAGATAATATGTGATTACCATGGCTGAAGAAAACCAACAATCAGAGTGTTCCGGTGACAAAAAACATAACTGAGGGGAGAAGAGAGAGTATCCAAAAATTCTTCAATACAGACTCATAAAGAAGGGAGAGAGAAAAGATGAAAGAATGATGTTACATGGGGAGAATTGGGAACAGACCATGCACCAAGCCAGAACAGGATAGATCATTGCTCCATTGACAATCTTTGAAACCCTCAATTATGCAGATATATAGTTATGCAATTTAAGGATGGGAAAATGCTCATAGTCACAGGCTCTGTCCATTATAGTTACATAGTTAGTCTGGCTGAAAAAAGACAAAGTCCATCCAGTTCAACCATTAAAGAAAAAAAAAAGTTGTAATCCTATACCCACAGTTGATCCAGAGGAAGGCAAAAAAACCCAGCAAAGCATAATCTAATTTTCTCCTGCATGGGAAAACAAATCCTTCCTGATTCCCAGAGATGCAATTGGATATTCCCTGTATCAACTTTACTTCTAAATGTTAGTAACCAGTTATATTCTGTGTATCCAAGAAAGAATCCAGGCCTTTTTTAAAGCAATCCACTGATCTGGCCAGAACCAACCCTTGAGGGAGTCTACTCCACATTTTCACAGCTCTCACTGTGAAGAAACCTTTCCGTGTTTGGAGACTAAATTTCTTTTCCTCCAGACGTAAAGAGTGCCCCCTTGTCCTCTGTGATGACATCAGGGTGAATAGCTCTACACCAAGTTCACTATATAAACCACTGATGTATTTATACATGTTGATCATATCCCCCCTTAATCTCCTCTTCTCAAGAGAGAATAAATTCAGTTCCTCTAATATTTCCTCATAGCTGATCTCCTCCATGCCTCTTATCAGTTTGGTTGCCTTTCTCTGTACTTTCTCCAGTTCCCCAATGTTCTTTTTGTGAATTGTTACCTAAAACTGAACTGCATATTCCAGGTGAGGTGTTACTAATGATTTGTACAGGGGTAATATGATATCTCTTTCTCTGGAGTCTATACCTCTTTTAATACAAGAGAGGGTTTTGCTCGCTTTAGAAACTGCAGCTTGGCATTGCATGCCATTATTAAGCTTGTGATCTACCAGAACCTTCAGATCCTTCTCCACCATTGATTCCCCCAATTGTACTCCCCCTAGTATGTATGATGCATGCATATTTTTAGTCCCCAAGTGCATCACCTTACATCTATCAACATTAAACCTCATTTTCCACATAGTTGCCCAATTAAACAGTGCATTAAGGTCAGCTTGTAAGTTGAAGACATCCTGTAAGAACGTTATTCCACTGCACAGCTTGGTGTCATCTGCAAAGACTGAAATGGTACTTTTAAACCCACACCCTATATCCTTTATACATATATTAAAAAGTAAGGGTCCCAACACTGAACCTTGGGGTACACTGCTGACAACACTAGACCATTCACAGTATGAATCATTAACCACTATTCTTTGAATACGATCTTTTGGCCAATTTTCTAACCATTTACATACAGATTTTTCCAAGCCCGTAGACTTTACCTTACACATTAACTGTGTGTGGAGAACTGTGTCAAACGCTTTTACAAAATCCAAGTATACCACATCCAACGCCACCCCTCTGTCCAAGGTTTTGCTCACCCCCTCATAAAAAGAAATCAGATTTGTTTGACAACTTCTGTCTTTCATGAATCCATGCTCTCTGTTGTGTAAAAAATTTTTTTACAGCAAGAACTCAGCTATGTGGTCTTTTATTAAACTCTCCAGTATCTTCCCAACTATAGAAGTTAAATTAACAGGTCTATAATTACTTGGTAAAGATTTTGAGTCCTTTTTAAATATTGGCACCACATTGGCCTTATGCCAATCCAGTGGTACTATGCCAGTCATTAAAGAGTCCCTAAAAATTAGAAACAATGGCTCTGAAATGACAGAGCTTAATTCTTTAAGGATCTGTGAGTGTATGCCATCTCGTCCAGGTGTTTTATTCACGTTATTCTGTCTAAATATTTTTGGATCATGTCAATTGATAATAATTTTGGGAAAAGTCTGAAACGTGCTTTATTGGTTCCAGATCATTTGTATCATGAATTAAACGTGATCTGCAAAATTAGTCTCACTGTTGCACCACTAGGCTGAGTAGCCTCTGTCCCAGGGTTCTGACCTTCCTACCATCACTACTTCGCTGTAATCAACTGGAACCACCTACAATTAACAGATACCTACACCAAGTGAAAAGAATCAGTGTGGATAAATTAAAATGCTAATCACTCATGTTACCTGCATTTTATGACTTTATTTTAATTATGTATCTGTGTGAAACTGTTTGTTTTATATAAAGTGGTGCTTGCTATTTGATTCTTGGCTTAATTTTTACCTTAATAAAAATGTATTTCTTTTTTACAGGCTTTAAAAGTTTGCTTCACTGAAGGCTTTTTTACCAGATATGAATTATCATTTCTTTCCCAGTCTAATATTGCAAGCTTAGCAAATGATGGTATTCTCACAAAAGCAGAAGGCTGTTTAAAGAAAAATCAAAATTTCATTTCTGAATTTATATCAATTAAATTTACACCATCAAATGAAAATTCTTGTTATAAAAAGGTATACAAACAAAACATTTGCCTGACAAATTGAATAAATATATGTCTGTAATTTCCTTCATCTGACCATCCTCCTCCCTACCCTTTCAACTCCTCCCCGCACACACTTTGGTAACTCATAAGTGGCTGTGCTGTCAGCTATATCAATTTAACTTTTTTGCAGGTTTTTAGTGGGGTGGTGTTTTATACTCAGAAATATTTATTATGCTTTAAACCCATTAAAACAAACATTCTCTGTTATATATTTATCACAGTGTTTACAGGCTACATCTCAGATTGTGGTAGTATATGATTTGAAATATAGATAAATAAAGTGTGCTTTATAACTTGCCAAAGATTGCGCACTTGGATAAACTAGACTACATTTATTATACAGTCATGTGGTAATCCATCTGCAACACATTTTGGGTTCTGACCCCCAGGAAACTATGTTCTAAAGGATAAAACGTTGCTCTGTTTTATGAAAATCCTTATGTGATTTTTATTTTCTAACCTCAGAGGACAGAGGAAATGCTGTCTGTGTGTGCAGCTGAAGCAATACTCAAGGAAAAATTGACTAAAAAGAAAATAGAATTCTTCAATGACAACTTTAAAAAGATAGCCTGGTAAGGTCACATATGTGAGTTTGTTTGTTAGAACAGTATTAAACTACTTGCCCTCAAGAGGATGTACCCCCCTTCCTGATCAGGCCATTTTTTGTGATACAGCGCTGCATTACTTTAACTGACAATTGCAGTCATGCAACACTGTACATAAATGAAATTTATGTAATTTTTTTCCCACAAGTAGAGCTTTCTTTCGGTGGTATTTGATCATCTCTGAGTTTTTAATTTTTTTCGCTATAAACAAAAAAATACCTGTCAATTTTGGAAAAAAAAAAAAACTAGAGTTTTGACTTTTTGCTATAAAACATATCCAACAAAAAAAAATTGGAGTCATTTTCTTTAAAAAAATTCTACCAGGTAAGTTAGAAAGGTGGGACCTTACTGCATTGGCAGTGAAGCTAAGGGTGCTTGGGCAGGCAAAAGAAATAAAGGAAAGCAGCCTTTGATCCCTGTTTTCAAGAAGCCTTTTGGAATTCCGAACCACCAAAACAACAATGCAATTCTGTCCAAATTTAACATCATCAGAATTTTAGGATCAATTTTTACCTCTCAGGTAATGTACTTGCAGTCTCTCTCTGTCACAACAGAAGAGATAGATTAAATTAAATCAAACTATCACCATTTACATTTATTCAATTAAATGTAATTATAATGTAAAACACTAAAACGCTGGGAAGGATAAACTGCACCTGGACAACTTCATCTGCGAGGGACCTAAAGCCAAGAAAAAAGTTAAACACATGTCAGCTATTCACATGAATATATTCTTTTAAAGTCTCTTTCAATAATATATGTACTGCAGCTATCAAATTTCAATTCCAAAGCTCATTAAGGCATGTATTATAAACTTTACATTATACTCACTTGATATCTGGTTTATACCTATTGGATTCCATTTACTGTTTCCGTATAATTGATATGTGAAACATAATGCTCATATTGTTGGCATAAAATCTTATGGTCACCATGTACACGTAGGGGGAGATTTACTAAAACCGCGCATGCAAAATCTGGTGCAGCTCTGCATAGAAACCAATCAACTTCCAGGTTTTATTGTCAAAGTCCAATTAAATAAGCAAAAGCTAGAAGATCATTGCCTACCATGCACAGCGGCACCAGTTTCAGAGTGCTCCAGTTGTAATAAATAACCCCCTAAATGTCTTACAACTAGATATTATGGATATTCATAAAGCAGCTATCTAAACCCCTCAACCTCATTACTCTAATCTTACACACAATATCTAAGCCCATAATAAACTTAAAAAATTAATTTTAAGCCCTGATAGAGAATACTTGCTGTTTGGTTCTTTGTGACTACATATAGTCTGCTAATGCAATCTCTGTTTGCTTAAAGTTGGTTATGTCCTGTATTCAGGGCTTTCAGAAACTCCCCCCTTCTGAATTATTCCTCGTCACTGCCCCTTATCCACCTCCAAGCATAGTCCCTTGGTTTCACCAACTACCCACCTCCTAGTACTGCCCCTTTTAGAGGATACAGAACCAAGTATCTATTTGTAGCACCAAGAAAATGTGTATGGAACTGGTTAATGTCAACAGGAAGAGCAGTAAAACTGACCCCCTGCAGCCAGGAACAAAATACCCCCCCTACAGAAAAAATAGACACCCCAGCGATAATGGATTTCCTGAAACAAAATACCTTGCATTTTTTCCTGCATCAATAGATCCACCTCAGCAACAAAATATCTTCCAGTATCCAGCATCAATAGACTCTCCATCATTTAGCAACAATAGACCACTCCTTCATCAGTAGATCCCTCCCTGCAACAAAAAATCCACGCAAACAATAATAGACACTTGCCAGCAACAATAGATCCCCCAGCAGTCCGTATAAATAGACCCTCCAACACACTCCAGCACCCTTTTCCATTACATACATTCAGTGCTGGAGGTGCCAAAACCACTATCCTCCATGTTCTTCCTGAAAACAAACCCTGCTTGTATTAATTTTAAAAATATTAATTTCATTTAGTGCAATCACAAATCAAGAAAACAGTCAGGATTGGATGACCATGGAGCAACTACATGGGGCATTAGACCAATTGAATACTGAACTGACAGCAATCTTGGAGAGAGAAGCTGAATCACAGAAGAACCAAAATAATTCAGAGGGACCGTGTTATAATTTAAAAGCACTATTTCTTGAAAAAGAGTGCTTAATTAAAAAAATAGAGAATTTAGAGAAACAAATTGCTCTTCTCAGCAACATACTGTAAAGATTTTTGAAACGAATATACATCTGTATAATGGTATGTATAATATATGAGTTATATATCATTTTATATATTGTATGCACATTTCTCTTTTAATCACGTATATTATCAGTGATTGTATGTAGAATCCCTTTTTCTGTTTTGTACAACTGATGAACTGATACTGTAGCTCTGACTGTTGTCAATACGTATAATAAACTTTACATTTTACATTTGTTGTCTAATGAGGTTTGCTTTCACCCAACACTTTTCAAATGAGATTAGGATATACACTGCTCAGCCATAACTTTATGATCAGTATGTATACTATGATTAAGGTACTGTACTAGCTGCAGTGTATTGAAAAAGGATTTTGGGCCTTAGCACATTTTTTTCTTTCTTTATAAATGTTACGTTATGCGTTTGGGAGCTGTGATACTCATTTTTTTCTGCTTCCATCACATCATCTTCGTGGACAATATGTTTGCTTGCTGTCTAATATATCTCACTAACTTTCAGGTGCCATTGTAACAAGATAATCAATGTTTTTCACTTAACCTGCCAGTGGTAATAAGGTTATGGCTGATTGGTGTACATTTTGCAATTTCCATTGTTCTATAATTTAAATGTCAATTAATATAACTTCACTAGCATATTTACTTAGTTATACTGTATTAACATTGTGAAAATAATTTCATGTGAAAAGCTTTATTCATCACATAGAATTTTTGAGTCACCTAAATAGACCTGCCAGGACCTTGGCTGACAAATGAGAAGCTTGTTATAATAGTAAATTACCATATTTATTAAAATGTGCTTTGTGTCAGAACCACTTACCATAGCACAGATCAGCTAGAGTAGAAAAACAGAAACCAGTATTGCCAATAAAAAGGATTGGGTCTCATTTATTAATATGTGGGTGTGACGGAAGCGTAGGCAGGACAGAACATACAAAGAAGATGGTAAACACACAAAGCTTTATTGAACTATGGAAGGCACTCAATCAGGGCAGTTCATGGCACTCCGCAACATGCGGCTTGTAGGGACACTCACGGTAAGCGGGCTCACAGGGACTCAGCGGGACCTTGGCTGTAGGGTCTGACCTCAGCACAGCTCCCACACAGCTCTCTAGGGACAACATCAGGCTCACGGGGACTCAGCGGGACCTTGGCTGTGGGGTCTGACCTCAGCACAGCCCCCACACAGCTCTCTAGGGACAACAGCAGGCTCACAGGGACTCAGCGGGACTTTGGCTGTGGGATATGACCTCATCACAACTCCCACACAGCTCTCCAGGGACAACACCAGGCTCACAGGGACTCAGCGGGACTTTGGCTGTGGGGCCTGATTCAGGTAGCGATGGCTCAAGCACTCAGGGGGGCAGTCCAGGTAGCTATAATCTGGGCACACAATAGGGGCAGTTCAGGCAAGGGTGATCTGGGCACACAATAGGGGCAGTTCAGGCAAGGATAATCCGAGCACACAATAGATGCAGTTCAGGCAAGGGTAATCTGGGCACACAATAGGGGCAGTTCAGGCAAGGGTAATTTGGGCACACAATAGGGGCAGTTCAGGCAAGGGTAATTTGGGCACACAATAGGGGCAGTTCAGGCAAGAGTAATCTGGGCACGCAATAGGGGCAGTTCAGGCAAGGGTAATCTGGACCCACCATAGGGGCAGTCCAGGGCACTCCGCAACATGCGGCTTGTAGGGACATTCACAGGAGGCGGCTTGCAGACACTCAGCAGCAGGCAGCTTGTAGGGACACTCACGGGAGGCCGCTTGCAGACACTCAGCAGCAGGCGGCTTGTAGGGACACTTACGGGAGGCATCTTGCAGACACTCAGCAGCAGGCAGCTTGTACGGACACACACGGGAGGTGGCTTGCAGACACTCAGCAGCAGGCGGCCTGTAGGGACACTCATGGGAGGCGGCTTGCAGACACTCAGCAATGGACAGCTACCAGGGACACTCCCAGCGGTCAGCCTCCAGGTACACTTAGCAATGGACAGCTTCCGGGGACACTCAGCAACGGACAGTGGCCCTCACAGCGGTCAGCTTTCCAGGGACAGCAGCGGTCAGCGGACCGAGATCCTCGCAGGGCTCAGCTTTCCAGGGACAGAGCGGTCAGCCAGGGACAGCTTCCGGGGACACTCAGCAACGGACAGTGGCCCTCACAGCGGTCAGCTTTCCAGGGACAGCAGCGGTCAGCGGATCGAGATCCTCGCAGGGCTCAGCTTTCCAGAAACAGAGCGGTCAGCAGACAGGAAAGACCAGCGATCAACAGACAGGGATCCCCACAGCTCTCAGGTAGGGACCCGGCAGGCTTCGACAGATAGGGACACAGCAGGCTTCAGGGGCTCAGCAGGGTCTTGGCTGTGGGGTCTGGCCTCAGCACAGACCCCGCACAGCACCCTGTCCCGAGCAGGGATCGAGCACACACGCAGCCACGGACGGGGCGTTGGGTCCTGCGGTGACCTTTTTAAGCCACCCAGGATGCTTCCCGGTGGCCCCACTCTCGAGAGCTCTGCTGCCCCCCGTGGGCGCAGGGCACGGGAAAATCTTGGGCCCATGCTGTACCCACCAGGGGGCATGCGGCGACTGGTTGACGGCCCTGTGCCAGAATCCCTCAGCGGGGTGTCACTCCTCTCCGGCTATATGGCTGTAGAGGTGTGAGGTCCGCCGCAGGGGTCACTTTCCTCCCACCCTGCACAGCCTGCCTTCAAAGGTCACATCAGGATGTGAGGAGGTGACAAGGGGCAGGGGGTGAGGTGACCCCCCTCATCCTGTGCAGCCTATCTTCAAAGGCTGCGACAGGATGAGAAGAGGGTGAGGGGACACAGGAAAGACACAGGCACCGGGGGGGGGGGTGTTGGAAGAGGAGCAGGCAATCCGTGACAGTGGGTTTACAAAGAGGGTTGACTTACGAAAATGATGAGCAATGTTTCAGAGACCTTATTTTCCTTTGTCAGTCTATGTTTAGACCCTTTTCACTGGCAATATTGTTTTTCTGTTCTAAGACCTTGGTTGATTTCAGGATTGGCGAGTGGGAGCAGCTGGGTCTCTCTGGATTGCAAAACGTCATATCTTGCTAGGTGTGCTTTAAAATATAAAAGTCTATTTTCAGCATAGTGAGGCCACAACATATAAAAACCAAACCTGGTTGAACCAGTGGGATTGGTTTACTAAAGGCAAAATGGCAGTTCACTTTGCAAGCAAATTTGTCCCAGAGCTTAGTGAATGTTTTGAAGTTTCACTTTGCAAAAAATACCCAGTCACAAACAAGGAAAATGCAAAAACTACATTTTTGTTGGACATGAGTGCACTGTTTAATTGGGCAACTATGTGGCAAATGAGGTTTAATGTTGATAAATGTAAGGTTCTGCACTTGGGAGCTAAGAATATGCATGCATCATACATACTAGGGGGAGTACAACTAGGGGAATCAATGGTGGAGAAGGATCTGAGAGTTCTGGTAGATCACAAGCTTAATAATGGCGTGCAATGCCAAGCTGCGGTTTCTAAAATGAGCATAATCCTCTCTTGTATTAAAAGAGAGAGAGATATCATATTACCCCTGTACAAATCACTAGTAAGACCTCATCTGGAATATTATCGCATAACTGGTGACAGAGGCCAGTGGACAGAGGGCTTCCCTTGCAGCTAAGTTCCAGACTCCCCTGAAGGTGAGACAGCAGGAGTCAGGCCCAGAATAGCACAGGTCGCCTGTGGGAGTGCTTGTTTGGTGGTCCACCCAAGAGCACGGCTGATGTGCTGAGATGGGTTCTGCAGGCAGGGAGCACCTCTGCGAGGTATGCAGGTCTTCTAGAGAACAGAAGATCACAGGATAACCAGTTCGAGCCAAGGTCGGGTGCCAGGTGGAGGCAGACGTAGTCAAAAGGGATAGCCGAGGTCATACACAGAGAGCAGGAGAGAAGATCCGTTAGACAAGCCGGGGTTAGGTTGGGGTTAAACAGAGAAGATAGGTCCAGGAGCAAGCCGAATCGTTAACAGGAAATCAAAAGTCAGGATAGCAAGGAAGCAAAGGCACTAGGGAGCCAGAGATCAACCAGCACCTGAGAGTAGTGCAGGGCTTCCTTATAAAGGCCGTTTGGTGCCAAATTTGAGCTGATGTGAACTTCTGCGGCCATACAAGGTACTGGTAGGGGTGCCAGGTCTCCTAATACCTCTGCCGAGGACAGAGCCCTGACAGTGCCCCCCCCCCAAAGGGCAGCCTCCGGATGCCTGGTTCGGTCGCCTTGTCTGGGTATTTGGAGTAGAACTCTTGGAGAAGTCTGGGGGCATTTACGTTGTCCTTTGGTTCCCAGGAGCTTTCTTCAGGTAGATACCCCTGCCATTTAACCAGGAATTGGATTTGTCTTCCTCGTTTCCGGCAGTCCAGGATTGATTCTACCTCGTATTCTGCCTCCTCCCCAACTGTTATTGGCGGTGGAGGTGGCTCCATTCTTCCTGGAAATGGGTCATGAACATCTGGCTTGAGCAGGGAGACATGGAAGACTGAAATGAATCCTGTATGATTCAGGAAGGGATAGTTCATATGCTACTGAGTTGATTTCTCGTTTGATTTGGAAGGGGCCAATGTATCTTGGACCCAATTTTCGTGATGGGCAAGGAAGTTGTAAGTTGGCTGTTGACAACCAAACCTTGTCTCTGACCTTTAGAGGAGTCCTGCAGTCCTGACATAAGTTGGGCCACCAAAAGGACCGTTGGATTAGTTCCATAGTTTTACAGGCCCCGAAGTGTCCAGCAAGTTGATGGTCGTGGAATGTCCTGAAAACCCGGGATCTTACCTCCTGGGATACAAAGATCTTATCCTGGTGCCACAGAAAGCCATTTTGCCTCCTTAACGAGTCTGCTTTGGATTCGGTGTAGCTTGCCAAGGCCTGTCAATCGATGATCTTAGACTGGGCAGACAGGATTGTGTTGGGGGGCGAAGGTACAACTGAATTTGGGACCAT